AGATTTGCAGCGACGCCAATTGCGACAAAAACAAGCAGCCAAAAAAAAAAAGGAAAGACAAATGTGAAAATTAAACGACAAATTCATTGGCATTCTCATTTCAAAATGAGTGCCTACAATCGCAAAGTATTACAGAAACTGTGCCCCGGCAGCAAATCCCTGGATGCGGACAGTGCAATGGACGAGTCGGGCTACGCGTCCTTTAAAGTGCTGCACAACTCAACCGTGGAGGCGCCATTTTTGTTTGAACGTGATAGCGAAACGGAGAACTGCCGCAATGCTTCCAACACGACGACGACGACGACACAGGGACGCTTGCAAAAGTCAAGATACGATTCGATACAATTCCAAACGCCGAACAGCAGCAGCAGCATCAGCAACTGCAATGAATCCAATTCGACAGCCAACAGAACGCTGTGGCACAAATCGCTGAGTCTGCCCGCGGCCAGTTGCGTGCAGCTGGAGGAGAGCGAGGATGAGGATGGAGGGCAGGCGAGCAAATCGCCGCTGCTGCTGTGCGCCACCAAGCGCCGCAAGTCGTATTACCAGCCCATGGCGCATCACAGTAGCCCCAAGAAGTCCAAGAAAAAGCTGTTTCCACAGCCCGCGCTGGCACCCATCTGCCGCACACGCTACTACGACGGCTTCGAGCATCTGGACATCATTGGCATGCTGAGCAACACGCTGCCCGCCTTGGAGTGCATACTGGCCCATGTCAGCTCTCACACGCTGGACGTCATGACCAAGGTGACGGAGCGCTGGGCGCAGGCGGTGTACAAGAGCCAGCGTGCAACAGAGCGACTGCATAACCATCGCTTCAAGATGAACCTCACCAAGGAGAACACGCACACGGTGAAGCGTGGACGCATGCTGTCCAAGACCCTGAACAAACACTTAGTGCCATTACAGCCTTCCAATGCCATACACAAACCAAACAAACACGATAACTACATGAACGTGCCCAAGGACGACAATTGCCTGCTGGTGGAGCAGATGCAGCGCATTAAATGCCCGCGCTGCGGCAAGTGCAGCAGGGTCTTTTACAGCCAGGCGGCTGAGCAGACGCCACAGATGAGTCGCCACGGGCCGCACAGAGCTGCCCTTTCGCAAACATTACCACACGTGTACTCCTTCAGCGAGCCGAAGGCCGCCCTGACGCGCTTCTATTCGCTGGATGAGGTGAAAAGCTCGCCGGACGAGAACGATGCCGCCGCACCGCATTCCATTGGCGAGTGCACCAGCGTTTTTTGCAAATTTCGCTTTTGTGTGCACTGCTGCTGCCCGCCGCATCCTGGCGTCAAGTGCCTGGTCACCGAGCTGGGCACGCCCTCAAAAGTGATGATGCCCAGCGAGAGATTGACGCCGCCCAAGCGCAACCAGAACTGCGACTACAAGCTCAGCCGCAAGAACTCGCTAAAGCGTTTAAACTTTTAAGCAAAGCAACAGAAACAACAAAACCAATTTGAATCCTTAGCTTTAGTTATCGAATATTCAACTGTACCAAGGTTTTTTACATGTTTAACTAGTATTATAGTCGTCCACATCTCATTAGTTTCGCGCGTTCACATCTCAATGTCATCAAATTTTATTATTCTTTGCTGTAACGTATGCTCAACATTCTTGTACCTCTGTGAGATTAAATAGAAGTAAGATACTTTTTACATTACACGAACAACGAAAATAAACAAATTTGTAAACAAATATCTTAAATGTTCTATCGGAAACCAGGAGAAATTCAACTCTACTTCAATCATTGAAATATTACCAGCTTACAATAATGCCAGTTGGCTTGCAATGATTTAAACCTAAAGGGTTGTCATTAAATATTTACTTATTTGTAATAAAATGATTGACTTCAATTAAATGTCATCACAGCATAACAGCTGTGACGGCATAAAGAGTCGTGAAACAGTTAAAACTATCGATTAGCCTGCAGCACACTTCGATATTATTATCAATATATTCATTTTATTACTTACCGCCGAAGCACGTGTGAAAAGTTGTTTATTTATGGTAGAATGATTGACTTCAATTTAATGTCTTCACATCTGTAAAATTCCGTTCTTTTAGGTTTGATTTAACACTTCTTTATTTTTCTAGCTTATATTTATTTTTCGATGTCCGAACTTAAGTCTCGACCGCACCAATTCAATTCAAAAAGTACCTTCTGCCGATTCCTGGGCATCGATATGTGTTCATTAGATATCGATAGACCATAAGTATTTTATAACATTGGCCTATTTATACTATTTTATAACATTGGCTTACTACTTTATTTACGTTATTTACACTACATAGCACTCCACTTTAACTTGTGACGTCATAAACAGTCGTGAAACAGTAGAAACTATCGGTTAGCCTGTAGCACCTTTCGATATTATTATCGATATAATCATTTTATTACTTACCGCCGAAGCACGTGTGGAATAGTTACTGCCCATTTAACATTTATTTTCCTTCAGTGTTTTTACACGCAAAGGAGCTGTACAAAAATGACGACGTCATTGGCTCAACAGCTACAAAACTTAGCTGCTCCGCAAACGTCGGTTACGTTAGCGGATGCACGCAGTCGTGCCTCAATATTATTCAATCCAAAGGAGGCAGCGACCAAAGACAGACGCGCCATCTACGAGATCGGGCTGAGCGGCCTGCTGGAGTTGACTGCCTTTAATCCAACATTTAAGGAGTTCCAGTTGACGCTCTTCGATGAGGCCACACTCACGCTGGAGCGCGCCGTCGAGCAGTCAGATGTCAACAAGTTGCTCGATGCTTCAATAGCGAAATTTTTGCGTCTCTTGTCGCCTTATTTTCTGCTGCGTCCGGCGCACATGTGCTTTGAGTGGCTGTTGCGCCGCTTCCAAGTACACGAGTACAACCGGCAGGAGGTGATGGCCTTGATAATGCCCTACCATGAGACAAACACATTTGTGCAGGTGCTGCAGACGATGCGACTGCGCCAGTCGGACGAGGATTGGTTCTGGCTGCGACGACTGCAGCGACCCGGCGTGCCGCTCTCCAAGACGGCCATAGTAAATCGTGCAGCGAGCGTGCCTGCGTTCCTCAGCTTCATCTGCCGCAGCACCCGCAAGTCGGTCAAGGAGCTGGGTCCACGTGCTCATCAGCTTCAGGCGCAGCTAAATTTCTATGCCACAGTTGTGGTGGGCGCCCTGCAGACGGCCAAGCCGCTCGAGGACTGGCACATTGCCACCATACTGGAGTCGCTGCTCAAGGGCCTAGTCTCGGACACCGTAGACTATGTGGCCGCCTCGTACGTGATTGTCGCACAGCTCGTCTCTCGTACTAAGCTCAAGACAAAGGTTTGTGATGCGCTGCTCGAGCGTGTGGCCAACTGCACCTTCGAGCGCCTGCACACGACGGCGCTGCTGCTGCTCATCTGGATACACGACAAGCAGCAGGCGGCAAAGCCGCAATTCACGCCAAAAACCATGTTGAATCTGGTCTGCCAGAAATGGCTAATAACGGCATTGGCCTCGCTGGCCAAGGAGAACATTGCCATTCAAGCTATTTGCATGCCGCTAATGCGCGGCGCCGTTGCGGCCATACGTGAGGGAGATGCCGCCACAGCTTCCCATCAGCAGTTCCTCGACAATCTGTTGGCTGATGTGCCCTTCTCCAAGCCCACCGCTCAGCAGCTTATCAAGTAAAGTCATTAAACTCGTTACACTCTAAATCCCTCAAACTTATAATTTGCTCTCTTTCAGTTGTTTCCTGGACACTTTTGTGGACATGGAAGCTAAGCATGAATCAACGCCCATGGACACGAATTCGAATGAGGATGAAGAGGATACTATTATCATTGATTCGGATGACGAAACGATGCCCGCCAAGACTAATTTCCAGACATGGTACACAGAGTTTCTGGAGAAACTAGAACGTCGCTATCCGGAGGCCTTTGACTTGAGCGTCAAGGCGGCCTTAAGTGCCAAATCCAATACGAGCAATCGACAGAAGGCCTTAAAACTGGCATTGGGTAAGTCGAGCTATAACATATAAAAATTGTAGTAACTATAACATAAGAATACCATTTGGGAGCTCCCAAAGGATACTAAATATACCCTGTACTAGTTAAAAATCACTTTATAGCAAACGTAATATTGTATGTAACAGACAGATAGAGGAAACAATAGCCCCACTTTCACAAGAAATATTTTCATAAACGTTTATTACATTTGTTAGATTAGGAAAAATCGTAATTTGAAGATACGCCTATCCTTTTAAAGATTTTATATGATTTTATAGATGTATATAATCTTAATAATCATCAATTGTTGAGACTATCTAACCATATCGTTCTCTTTGTCTGTATAAACCCTTTGATCAAACCACTTGTTAGTCTGTAAAACTTCTTTGTACGAGTTAGTCTTCCTTTTGCATTCATATTTATTTAAAATTATTAAAAGCTCTCATTTCCTAGAGCAACTCTTGGAGAATAAAAAAGCTATATCTATATATTTTTATTGTTCAGCCTAACACATTAAATTAACATTTGCCCTAAAGAAAACTGAATCTCAGCTTAAGTGAGAATGAAACTCTTCCATGCAAAACTCTAACTCCCGCTTTTCCGCAGGCTTTCGACTCAACACAAACGACGAGAAGGCGAAACGGGCATATGAGAAGCTCTACCATTACAGCGCCGATTGGCGGCTGGGCGCGGTGCAGCAGCTGCTGCAGAACCTGAAAGTGGCCAAGCGGCGGGAGCGCAGCTATCGTCTGCTGCAGGAGTGCCTGCCCGATCGGATCAAGGACGATAGTCCGGCTGTGGTCTCGGCGCTGCTCACGCTGCCCACCGTTGACTTTGTGGAGATGATGGGCGCCGCAACATTTGCCCAGACGCTGTGCGAGCTGCTGCAGCGGGCTCAGCAGCAGCGCCAGACGCAATGGGATGCGGTGGTGCCGCAAGTGGTGCAACATCTGACCACAGCTGCAGTCAGCGACAATTACGATACAAATCTGCTGCTGCTGGCCCTGATGCCCTATCTTTTTCCCTGCGATGCACTAAACGCCAGGGAGCATGCCGCGTTGTTAATCATATTGAGCAGCAATTTCGCCAGCAAGCTGCCATTTCTGGGGCAGCTGGAGGTGAGCACGGAGCATGGCGAGTTCAATGTGTGGCTGCATCGCAAAAAGTTTCTCGATGTCATCGCCAATGTGACGCAGGCGGGCAAGCAACAGCTGGCGCTGCTCGAGAGCGTGGAGCAGCATGGTGGCGTTGCCTATCTGCGCGGCGAGGCGTCCCAGCTGACCCATCTGCTGCTGCTGCTGACAGCCTATGCGAAACGTGAGCTGACCGCCGCAGAGAGTCTGCACATGCTGCAGCGCATGGGCGTCTACACGCAAGGATTTCAGTTTCGTCTGACCAAGGAGAACGCCAGCAGCAGCAACAGCAACAAAAACCATGTGCCGCTGCAGCTGTACGCTGACTTTCTACAAACCGTGGCCAAGAACACAAAGTTCAGCGAACTGGCAACGTTGCCCTGGACAGAGTTAAGCGAGGAGCTGCGCCTGTGCCTGCTGCTGCTGGACACGCTGAGCAGTCGGGTTTATGCCGAGCAGTGTGCGCCCGCCGAGCGCAGAGAATGGACGCGCGCGCTCAAGGATTGCCTGAATCACATGCTGCCCGAGGCGCACCACAAACTGGATTTCCTATGCAACTTCTATGTGTACGAGACGCTGCCCGAGCTGTACAGCAATGCCGAGGATTATGCGCTTTTGCGCGTGCGCGGCTTTCAGCTGCTGCAGGCGCTGCTGCGGCCGCGTCCGGCTGTGGTCAGCTGCAGTCTGTTGCACGTGCTGCGCATCGCGAATGCGTGCAATTCGCCGCTGCAAACGTTTCGCCAACAGGCGCTGGCCACGCTCCAGCTGCTCGATCTCAAGCAGCTGGACACACATGTGGCCCATCTGGTCGAATGCCTGCTGCAGCGCCAGAGCGAACTGTGCATGGATCACGAACAATACGCGCTCATCCTGCACACGATATTGCAGAGCAGCAAATGCACGCCGCGCGAGAAGCTGCTGCTGGCCAAGCTGCGTCGCACGCTCCTGGAGCTTGTGTGCGATGTGGCCCAGCCGGCCATTTGCACCGCCTCGCTGCTGCGGGCGCTGAAGCACATGAACAACGAGACGCTGCTGTCGGCGCTGCTGCCGCTGGGCGAGGCAGCGCTGCGGGCGGTGTCCAGGAACGTTGCCAGCAAGGACACATCGCAGCTGGCGCAGCTAAACTGGCCACATAGCGACATCTATTGCGCTGTCATTGAACGCTTCGAAGGCGCCGTGGGCCTGGACGTGCTCAAGCACCAGCCCGCCGCCTGGCAGCTGCTCGAGGCTAGCTTCAAGCAGCACACCACCTATGTGCAGCTGGAGCAGAAGCTGCAGCCGCTGCCCTGCGTGCTGCTCAACTCGCTGACGCCGGAGACCTACGAGCAGCTGCAGAGCCAGCATAAGGTGAAGTTGTTGCAGCTTATTGTGGAGGCGGCCACTGCATCCGACAACGATAGCATCTTTCTGGCGGCCCATCGTCTGCTCAAGCGCTGCAGCATCGAGTGCCAACCCCTGGTTGGCATGTTGTCCAGCATGTGCAGCAAGAGCACGCGCATCATTCCGGCCAAGCAGCCGGAGCGACGACGTGGCCAGCCAAATACCAAACTGGATCTGACCTGTGTGACCTGGAAGCAGGGCATGACTTTGCTCGAGCTGCTTGAGCACAAGAAGCAGCTGGTGGGCGCCGAGCAGCTGATACCCTCGCTCTTTGAGCTGCTGCAGCTGTGCCTGCAGCTGGATGAGCACAGCGCTGCCGAATATCCCAAACAACTGATCCTCTCCAGCCTGCTGCACTGCTGCGACGTGTCGCAGGCGGCGGGCGTGCAGCTGTCCAAGGTGCTGCCCGAATCCTGTTTCCGCATCGAGCAGGTGGTCCAATGTCTGCGCAACACACAAAATCCACAGACGCAACAGCATGCGCTGCTCTTCCTCACGCGCTGCGCCGCCCTGTATCCACAGCAGGTGCTGCACAAGATTGTCGAGATCTTTACGTTCGTGGGCTCGACGGTGGCGCGCCACGACGACGCCTTCAGTCTGCACATCATCAAGAACGTGGTGGAGACGATTGTGCCC